CCAGTTTCACGTTTGCCACTCTCCCTGTTGTGACAAATAAAAGAAAATTCTGGATGTTTGGTTTGGTGGAGAGGGGAGGGGAGGGGGGAGTGGTTTCCAGTTGGTGCTACGGCTAAGCTAACAAAATCGCTTACTGCACCTTTAATTTCCAAAAACGGAAATTGTATTTGTATGGCACTAAAATATATATGGTTTTATACAACGCTTTTTTGGACACTCAAAGACGCTTCACATTCTTTCACTCCATACACAGTAGTGATAAACTACTACTGTAGCCACAGCTGCCCTGGGGCACACTGACAGAAGCGAGGCAACCAGTATGTGCCATCGGCCCCTCCGACCACCACCAACCATTCACACACACTCCAGACTCATTCTAGGCAATGGGGGTGAAGTGTCTTGCCTAAGGACACAACGACAGTTTGGCACTTTACAGCCGCAGCCGCCCCACTGTGGCATCAGGTGTTTCCAGAGGTTAAGTGTCTTGCCAAGGACACAACGACAGCAGACAGTGGGAGTCGATGGAGAAAGTCGGGCTCGAACCCATGACCCTCTGGCTCAAAGGCGAATGCTCTACCAACTGAGCTACTGTCGCCTCAATATATAATTAAATAATAATATAATAATAAATAATTTGTAAACCTCAACTTGTATATTTATTTGTATACAGGTTGGACCACGAACTGCTGTTTTTTGTTTTAACATATGGATTGCTTGCAAGAAAGAGCTGTGTGAGTCACTATTTGAGGCTTTGGGCTGAGAGCATTATGTCGGGGTGGTCCGCCCTTTTTTGTTGCTTTTTGGTCTGAAAAATCTGATCCAAAGATGTGATACAGGCCCAAAATACATGCTTGTGAAAACTAGTGATAAAACCCAAACTGTTTTGAGAGCAATGAGATAGTTATATTGATTCTTCATGTGTGCTTTGAGTGTAACCCCAGCTTTAACCCTTGCAATAGTCAAAAGCATTAACGCAGGCCTATCTCAGAATGTCGAAAAATATAATGAACTCAATTTTTATCTCGACCCACGCTGCATGTTTTAGCCGTGCCCCTGTTTTTGCAGTTTGAGGCCTCTCCAATGTCACGCTGCACCGAGGGGGAGCGGTATTTTCTTGGGCTCTCACAGCTCCGAGTCTGCTTTCACACCTTGTCACAGAGCACTATCTCCTGCTTCTAACAGTGGACCAGGCGCCTTTAACCCTTTCTTCAGCAATCACTCCACAAGACAACAACACAAACCCACTGCTTCACACACGCCGGCCCCGTCTCTGTCCCTGGGTATCTGCACCCGGTCAGACATGTCCATCACAACTGGCAAAAACACATGGATAACAGTGTATGTGGTGGAACAGACTTATCCATGCACAATATTGACCGTATTGTGTGTGTAGTTCAGAGTATTTCAGTAATGTTTAATTTCACATGTGGCAGTAGACATCAGGCAACAAATAGGCATGACTGTTTTGATTTGTATTCTATTTGAGAAGTTTCTAGCCTTAAAGCAAGGACACATTTAGAATCCATAGATGTTTGTATGTATGTATTAATGCAGACATGTCGAACTCAGACTCGTGGGCCAAATCCGGCCAGCAAGACAATTTTTAGTGGCCTCTAAAAAGATTTTGAATTATTATTATTAACTTGCAGCATTATGGCACGTGTAAGCCAATAAGAATGAGCCTAGTATTGGATGATTGCTCTGTCATGGCTCAGAAAGCAGAAGACATGATTTTCACTCATAGATTTGCTAGATTTTAGGCTATTTGAGAATGCTCGAGAAGGTTTGGTGCTGTGGAGAGGGGAAGAGTGGTCAATTAATAAATATAATCTTATTAAACCACAGAAAATGTGTGTCGTAATCAAAAGTCCATCTCCAGCTTGAAAACTAGACTATCTATGTAGATTTCTTTTTCCTAAAAACGTGCAGTATTTTGACTAGACCAGTCGGCAACTTTGTGAAATGGCCGTTTATGCCTCAGAAGATAAGCGGCTACCAAGACATATTATGTTATTCTAAAATTTTAACCCAACTAGTAGAAATTAGATAGATAAATATTAAACAGTGTTGTATATTTGGTTCAGTTTTAGTTAGATCCAAACAATAAACACATTTTAATTTTCAGCTAAATCAAACCAGAAACAAATAGTGAAACTAATGTCAAATAAATGTAATGTCAAAATACCATCATCATGAAAAAAAAAACGTTTCAAGAAAAGGAATTCCCTTCTTTTCTTTCGGCCTCCGACCAGTTCCTATATTTATCATTCAGCCCCTGACCCCAATGAGTTTGACACAACTTTATTAATGTTTTAAAATAAAAGCCATTAAAACAACGTTAGATAAATATCAGGAAGGCTTGCTCTTTAATTAACTTGTTTTATGAAATGCCAGACATATTTTAGTGCCACACTTATAAAGTTTGACCCCTTCTTGAGCTAATTCTTTCAAATGTTCTGTCAATAATAAATCATGTTGAAGACTGTAACTGGAGGAATGCAACTTTTTAAAAATCAGAGATATCTCTTTTTTTGCAAATGAACTCTTCGTCTGACTCTGTAATATTTTAGTCAATAAACATATTTGACCTCAGTGCAAATATAGCTCGAGAGTTGTTATCTATTATCTTAAACAATATATGTTTGTGTGCATAACCTGAGTGCTCTTATTTCTCTTATTTCTGCTGTAATGTGCAACAATGACTGAAATTTCCCCACTCAGAGACTAATAACAGTTCTCTTATTCAATATTGTCTTATCTAATTTCATCTTATTATATAATGGCATACAACAAGTACAAGAGTAGTCATGTATTTAATGGGAAACAGACAAAAAAGCCCTGAAACTAGAATGAGGATTATTAAAAACCAGTAAATACATAACAAATAGAAACATATCCATACATTTTTTTAAGGAAGTCATTTGTGGAAAGCCAGGCTGCTGCAAAACAAAGTACCAGGCACACTACATGATGATATAGACCACGTCCAAAATAATCAAAAACCCATATGTGTTACTTTTTTTGTTTTTACTGAATGTCCTTCCAAGCTTTATCCTTCTATTTGCCTATGTCAGCCTGTCATGCTGCCAAATCTCAGCCACTGTGCTTTTATAGGCAGAGCACGTCACTGCCAAAATTCGTCGGATTAGGGGGAATAGATATACTTACTGAGAAGTTAGAAAGCCAACTAATGTTTAATACTAAATATCCATCCATCCATCTATTTTCTACCCTTTAATCCATTTCTGGGTCAGGGGGGTGGCAATCAGAGATGCCCCCCAAGTCTCATAGCACCAGCCCCTCACTGACCCTCTGCAGGTGGTGAGTCCACAGGAGGACGGCTGCTCTCTGAGTGTGAGCATAGCCTTGATCTTTCAGTGCTATGCTCTGATACTACACTATACTCTAATACTAAATAGAAAAACAAAAAGAGAGGTTGTTGGATGTCAAGAAAACCATTGTAATAATAGTGCTACAAGTGATGTTTACGTCTGGTAGCCTATTCCCAGAATGTTGTGGTGTGTTCACATGTAAATAACCCAAACAACTGCACATTAAGGCAAACATTATGGTCTCTGATCGTTGACGGATAGAACACTACAGAAGCACTCCGGGACCAGCCGAGCCTGAGACCTCTGCTAATGAATAACGAAGGCTCCTTTATGTCCCCTTTGCTGCAATTCAATTGGATTAGTCCCCGGACAGAATCATCTCCTCGGTGCGGCTTCGTGTCCTGCTCTCTCCGTCTCCCGGGGGCACCTTGTCCGCTGACAGTCACTATACACCTTCAGCACCATGGACAGCGCATAAACACTTTACACACACTTATACACACACACAGGCGCGCGCATGCACATCCCTCCATCAAAGCGCGCACACGAGGCCTCCCGCTCACGTGCTATGGCCCACTACGTCATAGCAACACACAAATGCAGCATCCTATAGGTGCAGGGTACGATGGCTGGAGATAAACATGCCATCCACACGCACAACAGTCAAACAGAAATGCGCCAATTTCACCTCCTCTTTTCCCCCATATCTATTCCAGCAATTGATGAATGATTTAAAGCAAACCACAAACACCCAATCCCGTGAAGAACATCAAGATGCTCCTTCTCTGTTACTGCTGGTGTGTGTGTGAGAGAGGAAGAGGCAACACACACTGACGCGAGAGATGGCTCCTCGCTTTGCTTTGTAACGAGAGAATTACATAACGCCAGAGAAGGCTGCTCTCATTTACATTCGTGACCATTTCACCCACCACCGATGTTTGGCTGGACAAGAGGAGTCTCCTGGCTGTTTACACACCAAGCAAATGTGAATGTGGACTTTGGTTCCCGCAATGGACCACGTAAAGTCATATGGTTTCATCTTGACCGAAATTAGGTCTATACAGCTCTGTGTGCATATCTGCTACTGCTGTTTATTCATAAATGTTTGATCAAGACACGCTCTCCTGCCCTACGCAATGGGTCATGCAGATCTGACATTAGTTTTAGCTGGCATTTGCCTGATAGCGGTGTCAAAATTCAACCCAAAATATATTGCAAGTAAAACCCGCAATATGGATCCATAATGATGCAAGGCGATGCTCTGAGAGACAGGACGCGATCTCAAAATGACGCATGCATTGTGGAGTGTGGCAAAGCTGTCGGAAATATACTGTTTGTGACTGGTGTAAATATGCTGAGGAGATGGATGGGTGCTGGAGAGACGAGGCTGGTGACAGATTTACAGTGCTGCGTCGTCCTCTGCTCGAAGGATGCTCGGACTCTCCTCAGTGCAGCAATGTGTGGAAACAACAAGACTTACCAACAAAACGCTGCTGCTGTTCTGCTGTTCTGCTGCTGCTGCTCCTGATTCCACTGGTGCAAAAGTGGTCTGTCTGCAAACGCCCGCCCTCCACAAATAAGTCAAGATTCTCTCCTCTTTTGCCGTGACAGAAGGTGACCCTATACACTCGAGCTGCAAAACTCTGCATCCACCACTAGCGGATCACGATGCGCGCAGAAGCGAGAGGGAGCTCCACGGACACGCACGTAGGGGGGATGGCCCACGCACGCTCCATTCAGTGAGGGATGGAACGATGCACAGGAGGAGAGAGATATGATGCCACACACAGGACGGTGCATCTAAATCCCTCTTTAGATATTACACTTTAGACATGAGGACATCTGCTGCGAGCGTGCTCCAGAAGTTAGTTGAGGCAGATGAATGTGCATTTTTATTTGACTGTGAGTGACTGATGATTGTTTTTATCATATTTATTGTTTTGGTTTTTTTTTTGCACTATCACCATCCACATATATATCAAAGCCATATAGCAAAGCTGGAATATGTATCGTTCAAACCACACGCAAATAAGCTATCAAATCTAGTTCCTTCTTTATAGTTTTCATGTATGTATCGTTGGCTTCTGTCACATCTTTAGATAAGATTTATTCAGCTTATTCTCAATGTTTCAAATTCTAATCAGATCATTATATTCTGGTCTGATTTGTTACCGTTTGTTTCCAGCTCCAGGCGGCCTTTCTGTGTGAAATTTGCGTGATATTCCCGTTTATGGGCAGGTTTCCTCCAGGTGCTCCAGTTTCCCCCACCACTAAAAACATGTACAATATTCAACATATATCTTCTTTATGTTTTAGATGTGGAGTGAGGGTAAATATAAAAGGGGAAAGACACTATATAAATCAATATGACTTACGTTTACAAGACTCTTTGTATTGTGGACAAACAAATTATTGAAAAATTAAAGTTAAGTCATTTTTAATAGAAGATTAAAGGAGCTAATGCTTTTTGCGATATTACATGCAACTTTCCACACCAAAATCCCTGACAATCTGTTTATTCGGTGAATCTAAACACTGATACATTTTTTTCCTGGAATATTCCACTGAATGGGATTACATTATCCATTTACATGGCATGCAGGCAAGTGACGTCACATGGTAATTAAATTATATCTGCTATGAATAGATATAATAATTCAAGTTTTCAGGAAAACATCTGCGATTAAATAATGTATGTGTTATTTTTTTTTTATCGTACTGAGGATGAGCTAAAATATATCTATGACAAAGACAATGACGGAGTTGTGCAGCAATGTCACATATACTACACTTAGTTCCATGTAGTGTATGAAGCAACACTGTTTTAAATCGGCTTAATATAACACATTTTAATTAACTTTATATTTAAGTTATTTAAAAGGGCAGGAATAATGTAAGTAGAACAGACAGCATCTCTAAAACAAGCAAATATCAATTTAAATGAAACACTGGCTGATAGCAAGGGTTTTTAAGGCTAAGGCTAAAAGTCAACATGCTCCTATGTTATTAGTAATCCAAGTCTGTTATAGCTCAGATTCTATAGATTTAGCTTAATGCACGTTTTAGCCAGTATAAGTGAATTTACTAAAGAAATCCATAATTGTGTCTTTTTGTGGTTAGGAGTGTTACATTTTACCTGTATCTTAAATGATAACTAATGCTAACTATAGGCTTTTCTATGCATTCATTCTTTTCACACTGTAAACATGCTGTCACTTGCCTCTGAACAGTATGGAAATTAGCCGTTAGCTATGTCTGAAATAAATGTCAAATAAATAAATACATACAAATTTAAATAGAAACTACTCGTCGTCATTTTGACTGCTACCATTCAAACAAACGGAATTCTAAAAAAAAGAATATTCTAAAAAGTGTTATTCTTTTGTATTATTTTTTAATGTAAAAAAGAACACATCATTACACTTCTAAAACTAAAAGCTGTCAAATTGACATTTCTGGGAGTTAAGTGTTGATAAAACCTTAGGTATCATAAACTTAACATTGTAAACAAACGGGTTCTTCTGACTCAAAGTAACAGTGACATCTAGTGGCGACATTCTGACAGAGCACCATTCTCGTATAAATAAAATATGTCATGCAATAAATTTTATATTCATTGTTTTAAACTGAATTAATATGCCCACGGCACGGGTGTAAACAATATCAATTATGCTAAAAAACTCTTAAAAATAAAATGCACAATTGCAACAACATTATTTTACATTGACATTGTTGCCGGAAGTGTCTCTGAAGAGAGCGGATTACGCTTCCGGAAACATTGCCCAGAAAAGGATCACGCATTTGCACCGTGAGTCGTGAGTTTACAAAATTATGCGCTGTTTCCACCACGCCTAAAGTGACATAATAATTTTAGTTGACATGTTTCATTCGTATTTGCTAAATGACGGTGTTCATAAATGAATGGGCGAATGCGGGGCTTTTGCTGAGCGGAAGTCAAATAGAGGTCCAGCTAACGGAATGAAGTCACGGCTCTAGCTACTTCTGTAAAGCTGTCAGGTCTTATGCGTTTAATGGTTTAATGTGCACAGACATCTGCTCAATGTATCTTAATAATTATAACCTCACTGCTAGTTTAATGAAGAGAAGGAAGTAGCAAATGAGTTGGTAACTGTTTAACCAATATCACAAGACCATAATAAGACCTAGGTGACTGAATACAAGTCTATTTTGAAATCTAGAAAAAATGCCTTCGTAAAATGTGGAAATCAATAAGTGATACAAGAGGAAAAACATAATACCGCCATATCCATATTATTTTCATATTATTTTATAAGCCTATTTATTGATATAGATAGATAGATACTTTATTGATCCCCCATAGGAGAAATTCAGGATCAATGACATAGCGTTTGCGTTTCACTTTCTCGTTGGGATTAATGATGTTATTTGTGTCCATGTAGTTGTACAGATTTCTCGCTGATTACTGCACAGAGAGATACCATGTGGGAGTCACATGAGCGTGCAGAGGATGATCCGTGAGCAGGGGGCCCACTGAGGGGACACTTCCTGCCCTGTGACTGCACTGGGGCGGTGGGAAGGCCCCTCCAGCCCTGCCCTTGTGTCTCCTCCGAATAAGCAATGAACAACACGACTGAGCCTCCAGCTGTCATCAACGGGGACGTGGCGGTCAGCTATGTCCTAGTGCCATTTTTCCTCATCACAGTCCTCGGGATCGCTGCTGCTGTGGTGAGCGCCATCAGGCATTATGTTCTGATGACTCCGTGTTGGACCAGGATAATTAGTCTATTATAGATTCATGAAAATATGGGGTCAATACAGACATTTTAGCATTAAAGATGGGATACCTAACATTCAAACAACAGAAAGTATCATCCCGACAGTTGGATAGAGTTTTATGATAACATTTCAAAAATATATATGAAAAAAATTAGAATACAGTTATTTAAAAAAAAGGTTTTTTTCCATTATTTCATTTACTCTGATAGTGTCTTGTATGGTGGGTTAGATTCCACCTTATCATCAACCAATTAATGGACAAAACAACAGCAAAAAGAGGAGTTTCCATCTGTTATATTAATGTCCACTTACTGAGAGCAGTTTAACTGTTCCAAAACATAAAATCTAGTTTTATATGTTTGAACTTTCAGAAATGTTTGGAAGGTAATCTGCACTCTGCAAGTTTGGGCAAGTTTATATCACTAATCAGTCAATGCAATCTTTAAAGAGCGACTAAACACCTGTGACCAGCCTTACTCTGCCCACAAGAAAATTTTAAAATGTTCTCTTAAAAAGGGCGTTGCCAGGAGGACCAAGGGACAAGACGGGGGTGGTTAGAGCTGGGTGTGGTCTGGGCTGTAAAAAGACAGTTGTCATTGCTGCTTAAAGCAGTAGTTTACACACCAGAAAGTCTCATTCCACCCTTGTTTACACACTAAGATAATTGTGGAGCTACACACCTGAACCTAACCTCATGTCCACACGAAGACAAAACGCTTATAATTTCAGAAACGTTTTCTGTAAACACGGAGTTAGCTCAGTAAATGTGTGCGTCCATATGAATGTAGTCAATACGCCTGAAAACGCTGTGAAACTATGCCAGACCTGTTGGTGGCGCTGTGACGCAATGACGGGATCAAGCCCAAACTTCCGTGACAGGAACTGGGCATGCGCAGAATTTTGTAAACAGACAACATGGCGAGTGGGCGAGCTGGTACTACATTAGTATGGACGGACGATGAGGTTGAACTGTTGCTTCGGGTCACACTGGATTACAAAACCAACAAGCTACATTGTTGTTGTCATTATTTTCTGAGTGCGGCCCATGCGTGCTTTAACAAGAGGCGGGGCGATGACGCAAGCGTCTCAGATACATTGCGGAGAGGCAGTAACCAAGGAGCGGCATATACGGAGTTTTGAAATCTTTCCACTCTGGGACCTACTTTCAAAAATGTTCGTTTACACCCCCCCAAAACGCCGGCCTCGTATGGACGATACACTGGATTGATAAAGTATTTTTGCGTTTAGGCCTGAGCTTGACTTCGTGTGGACAGGGCTTTAGTCACTGAATTATCTCAGCAGAAGTGGCTGTCAACTCATGTAATTTAACTTTTATCCACTAGATGTCGCCAGAATACTCCAACCTGCAGCTGGGGCGTGTGTGAGAATTGAATGGGTTTATATCACTGGCGCAGACAGACTGACGTCACACAGTATTACAGAGTCAATGGAGAGGCCACGACCAAATTCAAATGTAGTACCACCGAAAAGGTTGAGAGGGCGCCACACAGACGTTTTTAGGCTCAAAAGTGAGATCTAATTTGCTCTAAAATGTCAAAAAAAATGACCAGGATATGTAGAGAGCACTACAATAAACATATTTATGCAGTTTATGAGTTAAAAAAAAGTCGATGTGGTGTTTAGTCGCTCTTTAATCCTCTAAATGAGGCCCCTTGATATTGACTATGTCTGCAATCGATAGATCAGGTTCTGTAATTGTGGATTTTCAATTTTGAGATTATGTTGAAACATTGAAAGGCCTGTAGTGATAGCTCAGAGCATAAACAAAATCTCTCATTTTCTCTTTGATTGTTCCAGATCATGTACATCCGAAGGAAAAGAAAGTAAGTCATTGTGTTGCTTTTACCTTGACTCCTGTCCCAGTCATTTCACTGAAGCGTGTCTTTGGCTCAGGCTCGACAGATTACGTCACCAGCTGCTGCCGGTGTACACCTACGACCCGTCAGAAGAGCTGAACGAGGCTGAACAGGAGATGCTCTGGAGAGAGGAGGACACAAAGGTACACACACACACACACAGACACATGCAGAAAGAAATATCCCAAACTGCTCTAAACAAAATCCTCTTGTCATTTCAAACCCGCAAACCACACAGGCGTAGGATTAAGATGAAAAGACCCGCTGTTTGTCCCACAGTGGAGACATTTCACAAGATCTCTCTATTTCTAAAACCTCAATCTTTAGCCTAAAAATAAAGAGAGACAAACACAACAGTGAGCCACATTGGGGAAGTTTGAAGAGGGAAGTTAAACATATCTTCTCTAACAATAAACAAAATAGTGCGTCGAGACAAATCAATGAAACTCTGTACAGGTGGCACATCACTTTTACGATTCCATTAAAACTATACTTTGGAATGTTCTAAAATCAGGTCATTTTGTGGGGCTTTTAGCAAAATTCTTACTCTGGGTAAATGGTCCATATGAGGAGTGGACTGAATGTGGAAGAAGCCGATTTGAACATTAGGTCACAGGAGCCAATTTCCTTATATAGGCATTTGTTCCCATGAGTGTAGCTCATTTGTCGTCCCCCCCCCCCCCCCCGATTGGTTAATCCTTGTCCCTTGTGCTAGCCCAAGCACAAGGGTAGCACTGTTAAGCTGAGGGTAGCCAGTTAATTGAAAAATATCCTACAAAAAACAAAATAGTGCTGAATTTTAATGAATAATTAAAAGTCACCCAGTCTTGGATCATGTAGACTTCTTTATAAGTATAAGTCAATAGGGGCCAGAGCTAGTTGGAGGGAAATTTTGTCTATGAGCATTTCCCTATTGTGTTTCATTGAGATGATGGAGTTAGCATTGTACATTTATATACAGTTTTAACCTGATTGTATCATTGACCAAATGTAGATTCTGAAACATCATGTACCGGATCATCAGCAGCTTTACATGAGACCCAATGCACCACAGCAAACACTGTGTATAAACTCATACACATAAAAGGTGTTTTTACAAAACCCACAATTTATGTTGAGATTGACCTTGTGCTTGTTGCGACACAATTATTGAACTGACTAAAATACATGATCATTATGGATAACTGAAACTGAAATTGCGTATTTGTAATTTATGTTGAGATTGACCTTGTGCTTGTTGCGACACAATTATTGAACTGACTAAAATACATGATCATTATGGATAACTGAAACTGAAATTGCGTATTTGCATTTCATGAAACACTGCACTGGCTTCCTGTGGCTCAGAGAATAGACTTTAAAGCAGCTCTGCTTGTCTCTCCATGGCCTCGCACCAAAGTACACCTTAGACATGTTAGTGACTTATGAATCAACTTGGACTCTTGAGGAGCACAGGGACTAGCCTCCTGCTGGTGCCCAGAGTCAGGACTAAACATGGGCATTTTATATTTAGATTCAGAATATTTGAGTTTTTCTGTAATCTTTACTTTGTCTTAAGTGTCAAAATGAAGTCCTGCTTCCACCACTGTACACCGTCTCTTTATTTCCAGATTGTAAAAGGCTGGGCCAAGAACTACCACCAACAGCGCCCTCTGCTGACCAAAGACGTTACAGCATGATCTGCTCCATCATCATTACTTGAACATTTCCAATAGTTTACTCTTCATGATGAGGTGCATTGATGCTACTGAAAAAGCAGATGGCACAAAATATATTGATCCTGCTTGAATCCCTATGTGATGAATCTGTCATATTAGTGCCAATTCTTTGTGCCTGAACATGTATTTATTAGATTATTTATGAAGTTTATTTTTATGCTGTTTGGACTCTTTCCACTGGAAAACCTGACTGCCTCAGGCTCATTGTGACGTTTGTTTGTAATGCAATGGTATGAACTAATGTGTAACCCTGTGTGGATTTTAATTGGTCTAGAACAGAGCCAAGAAGTGGATTTCTTGCAGTTGTTGAACTTTTATTTCACTTCAGTGAGTCAACTCAATACACCCCTTTGTTCGACATCCCATTGGTATGTGAGACCAGATGGAAGTAAATTATATCCACCTACAGACACATTTATTTGTAAAATGAGTGGTGACTAGCATCAAAAACATGTCCTGTTTAGAAGGCATGGCACCAGCTCAAAGTTACTCCTCACTAAAGAATGCCATTGACCTGTCAGTAGGAAAACTCAGGGACTTGGTCAGGACTGTTGTGGATAGAGGAGTGCATTGGGGAGAGATTATAGAATATGAATAGAGTACATTTGAATTTAAACTTAAATAACTACAACTTCTGGTGTAAAGTCAGCTGTTTTTATCCAATCCATAGAAACAGAAAATAAATCATATTAATTTGCTGTTAAATAATTTCAATTGAAAATGTTGTCACAGTAGGTCCATCATAATTCATATTTCGATCAATAAAAGATTCATATTTTATCCTGAGTCTGTATCTTTCCTTTTCTTTATGGTATGTTCACTCTTCAGACCAGCGTCTGGAACCTTTTTAGCCAATCACATATTTTTAAAATAGTACTTTAGTGAGAGCCTTATAATATTTAACTTCAGCTTCAAATTACTACCCCACAGCAGTCATTTTGACTGCTCCCTTTAAGTGGAAAGGAGGATCAATTAAATTCTCAACACATTAAATTTTAGTTTTGAACTTTTAAATTAAGCATTTTTATCTTCAATAAGTGCTAAAGTTGACAAAAATAGCAAAACAGTTTTTGAAAGGCTACCAAATCCTAACTACTGCACCTAAAGTCTGTTGCTATGGTAACTAGCGCCTGCCCGTCTCTGAAACGGTCCAGGACCAGCACCTGAAGAACAAGAGCTTTAACTGCCATCGAATGTTGGTTTCAAAGTGACCAACGATAGCTAGAGTTAGTAAAAATAATTGCATAGAACTAAACTACATTAAGTGGCGACAGTTGCTCAGTTGGTAGAGCTTTGAGCCTGAAGGTCGTGGGTTCAAGCCCACCATAAGACCTACTTCACGACTCCCACTGATGATTGCCGTCGTTGTGTCCTTGGGCAAGACACTTAACCCCACTTTGCCTGAAGCCGCCGCTGAAAGATCTCAGCTCCTGTGGACTCACCACCTGCAGGAGGATCAGTGAGGGGCTGGTGCTCTGTGAACTGGGTGCAGCTCTGACTGCCACCCCCATGACCCAGAAATGGATTAAGGGGAAGAAAATGGATGGATGGATGAACTACATAAAGAAATAAAGTCACTATGTTATGAAGAGCACAAATGTACATAGAGTAATTAGACTTCCGAAAAAAAAGCCGTCATATTGACTGCCCTGGGATTTCTAGTGTTAAAACAAATTAGTTAGTCTGAATTCTTTAATAACATTATACTGAAGCTCTCCAATACAGATACTTGATTTACGGTGAGTCTATGGTTTGTGCTGAATTTTGACTTGTCTTTATCAGGTCAGCTAACTTCAATTCTCACTAACATGTGACAAACATTAGAAGCTCTAGCTCAGGCTGTTTGACAAAAAATTCAACAGTCGACAGAAGTCTATTGTGCAAAAGCTCTTAAAATGACATTTTATTCATTGGAGCTAAAATCAAGAATTGAGCTATGAAATGATTAAACATGACTTTTCTCTGGATTAACTATCAAAAGTAAATTACATTTTAAATTTGCTCCATGGCTTCGGATGTTTGCTGGCTTCCCATAGACTCTAGACTAGTGCACTAATAGTCTGGACCGGCATGTCCGGCCCGTGGGCCAAATGTGGCCCTCTGCCTTGCTAGAGATCATAAACACAAGTTTGCAGTGTCATCCAGCCAACTTCAGGTCTACCTATATAGACATGTTATAGCTCGTCCAGAACAGTTTATTTATAAGCATAGACTGACACATTCAGACTTTAACAGTTACAAAAAGATTCCCAACTCCTATACCATTTAACATTTTACTTCCGAATAATTGACTGACCAAAAGGAAACTTATAAGATATACCTCATTGTAGAGTTTTAAAATCTGGTCGTCGGCCTCTGGACATGTCTAGTGAACTAAAGTGGCCCTCTTACTAAGAAGTTTGAATACTACTGGTCTCAAAAAAAATAAAAAATACATCTATAAAGATGCAATAACAATTTGGTTCACTAGAACGTTCTTTAGAATGGAGCGTGAGCCATGTTTTCTGTGGCCACAACTTTTATCCCCTGAAACCAGAGATAAAGTAAGCCAAAAATGACAAAGAAAATTTCTCTTTATTGACCATCTCTGATACAAATTGTTGCAGGGCACCATAGAAATATAGACATTGTACATTTATATATGTGTACATTATAAAATGATCCCATCTAATGCATTTTAATAATTGCAAATTTGAGGATGCCATGGTAAGAGAAACGAGCTGAATATACAATCAACGTGATATGGAAGTGCCAACACGCAGTGGCCAGAGGATCAGTGAACGACCAAATCAATGAAAAGCACATTTGTCCATGAAAAATCAGAAAACATTTCAGTGCACCAGATCTTTATTTTTTTAAAAATGATAAAAACACACACCTACTAAACTACCACAGTCAGCGAACACAGTTGCCAAGCTGACAGGTCTCCCTGACTTGCTTCACACATTTAAAAGTCACCTGCTCAGTTTATGAATGAGCCAAAATAATAAAAGTAGCGTACAGTCAGGTAAAAACAAAGAAACTCACAACTATGCAAAGTTGAACGTGAACTGAAACGACGCTTCCAACTTACGCCACAGGTTACATACAAAACAGAAAACCAGTTAATGCAATATTAGGTAAGTAAGCCGTTGAGTGAGGTATGAAGATTCTAGGCAGAGTTGTTCGCCTGTTTGCAGTTTTCTGGGTTTGCCATTGAGGTTGTAGCAGCTTTAGGCATGGAAAAAAAACCCAGTTAAGTGAATTGTGGCCAACGATTCCCTGACACAGAAATTTACCTGTTGCGGACACAACACGAGAGCCATGGAATAAGCAGTGACGGCAGGAGCCAGCTTGTTGAAGCGGAGCACCAACATGGAATGAAAATAAACTGCTAGAGATAGTAGTGCCACCAGTATCCTCACAAACAGCCTTTGCTAAAGCAGTTGCAATAAAAGGGTTTGAATGAGCGCTTGGAATATGACGAACAGCATCGCAAAAGCTCCCTGAAGAAAACGGATGCTCCCAGCCTAGAGCTCTGACAGATATCCTTAATACACTTCTTAAAGATTAGTTATCATACAAAACATGTTTCCCCAAACAAAGAACTACCACGTTTGATTGGACTTGAGGAACAATACGATCTCTCCACTACAAGCATAGACTGAAAAGTATATCTATTACCTACAGGAATCAGGGCATGAACTTGAATATGTTTGCGCTAAAACGTGAGACGGAGGGGGTGATATTGTGATCTACTCTCGTCCTAAACTTGGCAAGTCCATCTAGAATACAACGCAAATGGATTGGTTAAACCACTGCACACAACGCACACATAATTTTTTTTAGGCAAAATTCACCTTTGTCCAGTACAAAACATGAAGAAAAACTATATATATAATATATATACGCCCTACCATCTTGGATGCAGATACAACAACAGTAAGCAGAGAAAACAGGATTTAGAGAGAATGTAAGTCCATTATCCACAGAGCAGAATGTTTGTCCAGTATAAAAGACTTGACATACACAGAAAAGGGCTGTTGATGCGATTGTTATTAGATCTATGCTTAAGCAAGGTCCATCGGTCTATCCAGTGCTGCTGCAACACCCTCCAGTGGTAGCAGGGTTTTTGATGAAGATGGTGGTGGCACTGGTGTTGGAAAGTACAGCCCAGTTCTTGTTAACAGTAAGTCAGTATGTTGAGTGAGGTAGCATGCGAAATTACTGTTCTTCCTCTTCCTCCTCCTCCTCTTCAGACGATTCCTTGGTTGCCTTTTCTTCCGCCTTCTTGAAAAGAGAAAAATAGTTGTTATAAAATCTACACCCACATGTACATGCAATTGATTTGGTAGTTGTGCTGTCAAACATTTAGAACAATAGACACGTGTGATTCATGTCCCGGCCGCAGCTACGAGCACAGACATGAATATTTAAAAAGGGAAACCACGATTACAGAACCCTTTGATGAACCGCCCGTATTAAAAGCCCATGGGAAGACTGAGCCATCTGCAGGTGGTGATTCATAGACCCGATGAGTCACACCGCAAGTTTGCAAAAACAAGTTCATTCATAAAAAATGTAGTAGGGTAGCGTTAGTTCATTCTTGTGCGTGACTAATGTAAATGTGACTTTTATAAAGAGTATGCACATGACTAATGTTACTACTGCACCGCCATCTGTCAACTATGTGTGTGCATGTTAAGGCAAAAAGTGACTGGAATTAACAGTTACTGTTTGTCAATCTGATGAGTTTAGATCCCAAAAAGGATAAGAATGAGATTTTTTTTATACATTTAAAACAAAACATATGCAATATACATGTTTAGGTCGCTTTATTTTTATAAACCAAAAACGTGTCTAATTATGAATGTTTATCCTTTAAATTACAATACATCTTCAATACATTAAATAGAAAAGCATCAATAATTTTGTATTTGTGAAAAAAGGGAACGAGCGTTCGAGTAGGGACAAAAAGCCTTCAATCTCTTGTATCAAATTGAAAGTTCCCAGTATCTGGACATGCATCGTGTCGTGTGAAGCGAGGCGCACATTAGAACTGGGAAAGGTACGCAGCCATAATGAAAAGTTAAGAAATATTACACCAACCAAATTACCCATCTATTAACTTGTTACAGCCCTGAAGTTAAATATTATAACTGATTACGTGAGAACTAGTCAGAAAGGAAGGAACATGAGACTAGATTATGGGGAGCAGTAGTTGGCTCCAGTAGACAGTCATTCCAAACATAATTCAATTGAGACAGGAATGGCATAACAAATGTGAGCATTGAAGCAACACTGGGCCAGGCAGGGTGCTTACCTCCTTCTTGGGTCTTCCTCTGCGCTTTCCTCCAGCAGCCGCAGCAGTTGCAGCCCGCTGCACAAAAGCAAAACAAGAAAAGTTAACCGTGCAATCTTTGAGATGGAGAGCGTCACTGGCCTATCACAGTGCTGCCGGTGTTAGCCTGGAGATGGCAGCAGTATCTCAGTAATAAGCCAGATTGAGCAGGGCATTGGGTTCATTGGCCATTATCTGGAAGGCCGACAGGAACTGCACACAGGGCACTCCAGTTCGCTGACCACCTGGTTTGAGGCTCAGAGACAGCTGCTTGGACTGTGCAAAACACTGCAGCTAAACAATGCCACCAAATCTATATCATACATTTGTTTGCAGTCTATCAGTCTCTCAACCTAACGGCAGCGGGAAAGCACACAGGGGGCTGAAGGGTAGGGGCGCAGAGAAGGAAAAAAAAAAAAAACAGTTGTTGCTATGGAGACGACAGGCAGAGAAGAACTAGGGCTGTGTGCTGGTGGGGGCAGGGTGCTTGTGTGTGTGTGTGTGTGGGGAGGGGGGGCTCTCAGTGTCAGCCTGGTAACAGTCTGCAGCCTCTGCACCTGCACTGTGCATGACAAGATACAGGAAGTGCACAAGTGAGCATCACCTAAGGCTTTAACGACTGCACCGTGGATTTGGATTTGGGCCTCTACCAGCCCCACTCCAGCGGAAGCCAATCGAGATGCAGCACAAGATTTATCACTGAACAAGTTTTGTCCTTAGCTAATGCTGAGGCCATGATAACACCCAGACTTTGTTTTTATTACACTTACTTTCTTGGGAGTTGCCTTGTTTTTGCTGCCCTTTGGTCGCCCTCTCGGCCTCTTTGGAGTTGGGGATCCGCTGGACTCCTGAGAATGAAAATAAAGACTTAATGCCGACACAAGAACCGATTGCTCACCTTGTACTGATTTTTTTTTTAAACAATGTAAATGTGTTTGGTCAGCCAATGATAGGTTGGTTGGTTTGTTCAAGAAACTCATTTGATCCATACCTGTGGTTGTATGGATCATTAGAAAGGGCTGGAAAACACAACTTTGAGCAGTTGTACCTCGTGTCATAGCAGACTCATCCCTTACTACGTTTCTACAGTGTCAAACCACAGCTTGCAACTGTGGAATTCAATACTAAAAACACAACATGTTGAGTGACAGCTATAGGAGCCATGCACTAGACTCTGCCTTGTCATCCATTAAACTGAGAAGGAAAGGGGGGCAGTGAGGAGGTGAAAACCGGTTTAAAGGTGTCTGGTTACAGGTTGCTTACAAACCCAGGAGACACAGGAAGTGTGTGGTCTACATTTACACTTATCATGGAGGTGAGGAAATGGTCAAGTTTGTTGTAGCCATATGGCCAATCTATGTTTACCAAGGGGGGCTTAAGACATGGCTCTCGATGTAAGCGATAGGCACGCGTTGACCTGCACATTAACCCAACAGATGGTCACACGGTGGACCAAGGAGCGAGGTTAGTCCACACGTTACTTGAAAGTGACATACTCTCTCTGAAATGCTAAGAATCAAGGGTCGTGGGACTCTTACCTGCGGCTCCTTGCGGGGTCTTCCACGCCCCCTCTTCTCAGTCGCCTCCTTCTCCTTCGTTGAGACTGTCCCCTTGTCGCTCATGTTTGCGTTGCTTTCAGACCTGGGGAATAAATCACACGGTTGAGGCGGGTCGGACACAAGGAGATCTGCAGCACATATCTAACCACGAACAACCGCAGATGCACTCATAAACCCATGCATACTTCCCCGTCTATGTATGCCCCAGACGCGCAGTGTTGTACAGATTAATAGCAGCAGACATTCAGGGGATTGGCATCAAACCGGCTTCAATGATATGCAAAGACACAGCAGCAGCAGGAGGAGGCCGCGCCATCTGCGAAAAGCCGCTGAAGTCGATGCGCTCTTTGCGGCGGCAGGAGGACCGGAGCTGCGGCCTGGTGCCTGGAGCCACAGTGTGATTTAACAATAGCTGCAGTGTGTGATCAACAACACACAAACACACACACACAGGTCTACAGCGACGCTACAGACAGGCTAATGGCCGCGGCTAAGCTTCCCGCGCGAAGCCACAGAGACGCCATCGCGCACGGCCACCCCACGGCCCGCACGGACACACAATAGCCCCCGGGCCCACGCCGTTACTCACATGTACCGCTAGAAATCACGTTCAGGAGATTTGCACCCGAAATATCCCCGTAGAGTCGGTTATTCCCGAGTAAAACGCCTGGCACTATCCATAGGCTGGATCTTTTATTCGTCAGAACGCGTGCTGCCCGCCCCTTTAAACGAGCAGCCCACCCGGCCTTTCACGCCTAGCACCCGACGACCGCAAACCACCGCCGAGACTCGCAAAAAAAAAAAAAAAAATGAAAACATAAAACAGAAATTAGTAATGGTTACCAGAACGTGGACTTTATTCCAACGACGTCCTAAAAATAGCACGCACGTCTCGTCTCCGGCGGATAAAGGAAAAAGGCGCCAGCCGGGAGGAGCTGGGGGCAATTTAAAGCACCGCCCTCACGGGACAGGGGCAGAGGAGGGCGGGGTTATGGTAAGAGGGCCCCCCCGACAGCACGAGGGCCGGCCCCCAGACCCCAGATCCTCACCTATCCCCATGGATTTGTATCATCAGTGTTGTCAGAATCTGATTTCTTTTTTTATTGCATTTGTCAGAAACCGGAAGTCAAACACTAAGATTTTCCTCTGGCTCCAGGTGCCAACAAGCTGTAAGAGTAAAAATAGGAAAAAGCTTATATTTACAGTCTATGCATACACACATTTTTCTTAAAATTGTATACTGTATACAAGTGCACTAAGTACACACACAGTAGACTAAACAACATTATGTTTCAAACTTTGATACTTTAAAAAATATTCGATATATCAATGTTTTTTTTTTTACTAGAGTGGGAAAATGTCAGTGTTGCATCACACGTTACATAATAATAAAAAGCACACAACACACAATAAGTGAGTAATGGTGAGTATAGCTCGACTCTATGAAATAAAATCTTTACCTTAAAGAAGAAACAATACACATCTGAAATATAAATCTGTATAATCTAGTGCAAAGAAATGTATATCAATCAATCAATCAAGTTTATGTATAAAGCACAATTCATCCATTGCTACAGTCTATGAGTGCAACCCAAAGACATAAAATCATACATATTTCTAAACATCATAAAACATATAATATAAAACAATAATCAGAATCAGAATCATTTTTATTGCCACGTAAGTAACAGGAGGTCACAGACTAGGAAATTGCTTTGGCTCAGTGCAACAGTCAAAAAGAGATAATAAAAATAAGAATAAAAAACATTTCTAAAGAATAAATTTAAATTTAAAATAGAGTTACAGTTACTATTTACAATATACAAGTGCACATGGTGCACACAATGTAAGGTGACAGCAGTACAGTGAAGTAAAGTGACGTATGATGGGCAGTAAAGTGACTTTATAAAGGGCGGGGGGACAGATTAAGAAGTGTTCAAGAGTCCAACAGCAGAGGGGAAGAAACTGTTCTTGTGGCGGGAGGTTCTAGTCCTGATGGACCGCAGCCTCCTGCCTGAGGGGAGTGGTTGGAATAGTCCATGTGCAGGGTGAGAGGGGTCGGCTGTGATACGACCAGCCCGGCCTCGAGCAATGTTATAATACAATTAAAGTAAAAAAACAACACTGAACGTCAGAATTACAACTGTTTGAGTTTGGGCTAAAAGTCACAGTGGACACACGTTTTTCCATATTGCACCTTCAGACATTATTGCACATTATTTCTCACTGCATAACGTGTGAGGTCAGGTCAGCAGTGTCCGTCAGTCCTCAGAAGAACGAGAACTTTGAAAGCAGTTCCTCTTTTGATTGAGCTTGAAACGGCAGCAAGTCCTAAGCATGGATCTACAATAATATCGGTCAGTCAGTAAATCATGTTTGTTTGTCTTTTTTCCTAGCTGTAAATTTGACTGAAGTACAGTGATCTTGGTTTTACACTGATCCAGACCAGAGCTGAGAAGATTCACGGGCTGAACCAAGCGGATCAAACAAATATCTACTTGAAGCATGCCAATTTAAAGCATTAGCAAAATATCCATCCATCCATCCATTTTCTACCCTTTAATCCATTTCTGGGTCAGGGGGGTGGCAGTCAGAGATGCCACCCAAGTCTCATAGCACCAGCCCCTCACTGACCCTCTGCAGGTGGTGAGTCCACAGGAGGACGGCTGCTCTCTGAGGGTGAGCATAGCCTTGATCTTTCAGTGGGGGCTTTGGGCAAAGTGGGGTTAAGTGTCTTGCCCAAGGACACAACGACAGCAGTCATCAGTGGGAGTCGGTGGAGAAGGTGCAGAGGTGGGAATTGAACCCACGACCTTCTGGCCTTAAGGCCAATGCTCTACCAACTGAGCTATAGCAAAATATGCTAATAAGAAATTCAGCATTTTACTTTGGACCAGAGCAGGGAAAATGGCCTGAACCAAGCAGACTCTGCAGACACCAACTTGAAGAAGCAGCTCATCACCTGCGGCTACACCACCTCTGCTGCTGTGACCTAAAGTTCTGCACATTATTAATATTGTTAGTAACATTTAGAATTATGTATCTATTTTTTTTGTTTGTGTGGATGGATGTGGTTCTTCTGCTGGACACCTGAATCTCTCCTACGGATCAATAAAGTGTCTATCTATCTGGTATAGTTTATAATGTATCAAGAAATGTCAAGTGTTGTCTTATAGTTATGAATCGCTTAAATTAGTACCTAGTTTTGATACTACATTTAGTGATCAATATTTTTCGATACTATTTGCGACCCTTGTTTAATGATAATACAACTGTCCCTTTAAGACTTTACGATGGTGTTTCTAAGGCTATCAAATGAGAGACTATACAGTTGTGTGTGATCTGGGGTGTGGGGGAGGATAATATTTCAGTTACAAAGTCTCCATTGCTTGGTGGCGTATGTTTTCTGAATACTGGGAATGCCTTTCCCAACATTTACATAATAATATAGCAAAGATAGATTAATTTTGTTGTTGTCGCAAGTTCAATTCGTGTAGGCCACCGCGTTTACAATATCTTATCATCTAATATCCAAATTTATGACTTAATTTTGTAAAAAGTAACTGCATTCTGATTCTGGATACCACCAAAAGAAAAAGTAATGTATTTCCAATAAAATAATATGTACATTGTTGATACATGTATTTAATTACTCAGCAACTCTGATAAAGATCGCGATGACTACAGCAGTAATACGACATGGGCGAAAATTATCAACAGTCACCATCTGATTGAAAATATAGACAAAAAGCTCTAAAGTCGATGACAAAATTACATTAAAAAGATAAAGATAAAACGTTATTAATCTTAGAATGAACAAATTTACATGTCGCATTTGGCAAAATATATGCACAACTGAGCACAATCATCACTTCTCTTTTCATTGTTAAGGTTAGGGTTAAGTTTAGGGTACACTTTATTCATCCCTGTAGGGCAATTTTGTCCTCTACTTTTGACCCATCCTGCAATACCACTACGGCCCCTGTCCGGAGCAGGGGTCGCCAGACTATACCGGCTCGGTCAGGACCGGAGCAGCACGCAGGATTTTACTTATTGTACATGTTGATAGTAGTAGGGGCAACCCAGAGCAGCAAGAGGAAATGTACGTCGACACAGGGAGAACATGCAAACTCCACTCAGAAAGGCCCTATTTAGAGTTGGAATCAAACGCAGGACTTTCTATGGATCTTTTGCACTATGTTTTTCCACTGGATGTTTTGGTCTGATGGTTGAAAAAAAGTTTTTTGGAGAAGCCGAAGGAAACTGCAGTATTTTTGCCTTGGTATAAAAACGTGTGAACGCTGTGAAACTCAGGTTGTTTCGTTAATTGTCGGTGTTGTTGTTTTGTATTTAGGGTTCCATTTCACTTCATATCATATCGTTTTTGTTACTGTTTGACATTTTATGTATGTTTTGTGTGTATTTTTGCTTTTTTATTCCCTGTGCTGCTCAAATGAATTGCCCCTAGTTGAATAAATAAAGTAGTCTAAATCTGAATCTATACCAACAATAAAACTTGTCTTCTGACGATCCTAGACCACTTAGCGCTAACCACTCAGCCACCGTGCCGTTCCATTATTGGAGGTTGATCAAAAAAACAACAGGGATCAGGACCTCCATCCGTAAGGCCATGTTCACACAGGTATCCATCCAGCTCTGACAGATACTACGAGCCTAAAACCCGACTTTCTGCAGGAGTTTTCTCTCAAGGCACAAAAGCATCATGTCAGAAAGACTGTTGCTGATAATAGGATACATGTGTGTCCACAGCACAGCCATACGTCGCCATGGTGATGAGTAACGACCTCCCCCAATATAAACAAACAGTCTTACGTGAAATGGCTCTTTCTTCATATGTTTCTTTGCATTTCATTCAGAGATTTCACCAAGCAATGTTGTTAATGTGGGTCATAAAGAAGAAATATACTGTAGTCTTTATTGCTTCATTTGAGCCGGATGCAAATCAAACGGCGAGTAATTTCAATAAAACAAACATAACCCTTTAATGTTCACTCCTTGACAAAAGAAATGTCATTTTTTTATTTTCTATTTTCTGTAGGAGCACTAAAAACACAAATGATTAGATTGTATGTTTTGTTTTTGTTTTTTTGTAATTTATATTTTATTCGTTTTCTTTTGCAGTCAAACATTAATCAATAAACATTCCAGAGACAGTATAAGCACAGTTATTTGTACAAAAAACAAGAGAAAAGGAGAAAAATAACGTAATAACTTATTTAATGATAGGCCTTTACCAAATGGTTGAGATGCAGTTTGTTGTAAAAGTGCCTAAAACAAAGTGACATAGATGCCCCACAGAGGTAGATTTCAGTTCCAAGCTTCAAGTAGACTGAAAAAGTCATCCACCAAATGTTTGAGGAAACCATTAAAGGGTTAAAAGCAGCAATTAGTACAAGTTCTGGAGTGTAAAATGCAACCCTTTGAAAATACATCTTTACTGATATTATTCAATGCAAGGAACAACACAGTGCTTTTTTCAATGGGACTATGGATCCTTTTAAGGCTAATCATTTTGGACCACGGGAAATGCATCATTCTATACATGGTGACTTTTGGTTAATCGGTAAAACTGTGGTTCCTATTGGAAGAGGAGATTGTCCAACGATGGGAGACACAAACAGATGCTTCAAAAACTTTGTACAATGATTGCGTTCAGGCTAGGGTGAATTGGCGGACACTTTGACGGTCCATGCATTAAAGTCTACTAAATATCTCAATATTTCTTGCGTTCTTCACCCTTTGCTTCTACCACTCTGCCCATCTTAGGCCAAGCACTTAGGCCAAGCACATTTTCGGTGAACTCAGGACCATGACTTCAGCTGGTCATTGGCACTTTTCAACTTTTATGTTTTGGTCTGATCTTGTAAGTTAATGCTGTGGCAGACGCAGAGGGGAGCTGCTGTATTAGTATTTTAGCCTTGGTATAAAACCACGCGAACACTGTGAAACTCTGGACGTGTCGTTACACCGTGTACCAACGATAAAACCCGTTGATCCCAGACTTCTGCATCTTTTGTCTTTTTCTTCAGTTGACAAAGGAGCCCTGAAAACCATCTATATCTATCCCAGTAACGAAGGAGACACTGTACGTTCTTTTAGTGAAACAGTGACACGTACAAGAACAGATATGACTGGTGCAATGATGTGTTCAAATGTGCACAACAACTATATTAATCTGAGAGTGTGCTTGGGCAAGGCAAGGCAAGTTTATCTGTATAGCACAGTTCATACACAAGCCAACTCAAAGTGCTGAACAAAACAATATAGAAACAGTCGCACAAGGCATTTAAATCATGAATAATCGCAGTGCGTTAAAAAGAGCAACGATACATTCCTTCAGTTGTCTGCACAGCTAAACATGACCGTTTTTAACCTGGATTTGAACATTGTCAGAGTAGAAACCCGTCTCATACATACATCTAAAATTCTGCCTAATTGTATTCCTGTGTGTGTCCAGTTCTATATCAATTTATTCAGGCTATAGTTCACAATACCTGCTTTCAAATATAGTAAAAAAAATCTAAAGCTAAATGCAGATAGTTTTTGTGCCTGAAGCGGAAGAAAATGGCTGGATGGATGGATGGAAAATGTATATAGCCAAAACCAAATGCCTTCTCCCACTGGTTTGTAAATATAGCTGCAGACTTGTTGGCCTACTCTGGTGGTGCTTTTCCTCAGTGTAATCTGTGCTCTGATTCAGAGCAGTGGCCTCACGCTCGGGGCCACGCTATCCATCACTCGTCGCACAGCAGACTTTTTAAACCCTAAACCCACCAGACTATTCCCACTATTTATTTTCCCCTTCGAAATGTAATAAAAGTGGATGCAAAACGGGATGCAAAAGAACAATAATGAGTAAGGCTTTAGGAAACCCATCAATACTGTTTTCAAGCTAAAGCTGGGGTATCTAACTTGGATCTTCTTTATAAATAACACAAAAAAATCTTTGCAAATCAGAGCACAGCATGCCTAGTGTTCAGATATCGTGTTATATTTTTGCATACTTGTAAAAAAAGATCCCTGTGAGAAACTATGTGTGCTAAGAGCTGATTGGCCGAGTAAGTTTGGTTCTCTTTTTTTTTATTTTCTGTCTGAAAAAGCTGGTCTGAAGCGGTGACGGAGGCCAAAAAGACATGCATGTGAAAAACTCTTTAGAGCCAGGAACTAGTGATATGGATTTAGATTAGGTTTAGATAGTTTAAGATGGGATTAGATAGTTCCATTATTGTGGTTTTAAAATCTTATTCTGCTGTAATGTGCGCAACAACGTGACATTTCCCCACTTTGGGACGAATAAGTCTTTGTCATGACATATTTCTGATGCACATTGCTGCACATCATACATAGGCCTTGGAAATAAACTCACGGTGCAAGTACGTGAGATCGCTGCTGCCTCTGTCATTTTTTCTACATTATCTTATCATATCTTACGCAGCCCAGCTTTAATCATGTATTTTTCAGTTCTGATGTTTGTGTTTTGATCCAAGCCGAAACAGCAGCTTCCTTTAAAACAGCAAAGAAACTCCAAGTTGCATGTTTGGTGAGTTAATGAGTGATTTCACTTGCATACCAGCCACTTACATATCTATGGCCTCCTCTTGTCTCTTTCAGGTGTTGTCTGTCTTTGCATGAGAAAGAGATAAGCATCAGCCTTCTGTGTGCTCTGGGGGTTGCGTTTTTGTTTATTAGTGGGGGAGTTGTTCGCAGTTTGGCTATAACCTGAGAATGATTATTTAGCTAATTGATTGTGTCTAACAGTGGGATTAGATTGCCCAAAAAAATATGTGACCAGATAAACAGTGCTCAGATGTAGCACTGGACAAAACTGGTCAGATACTGGATAAAACCATTCACGCACGGTCAACTTGACAAATGTACGACATATCCTCCCAGCTAATCCTGATGCATAATGTATCTGTCATATCAAGTTCCATATCTTTAAACAATACTTCTTTCATATTTGTTTCTGTTCATATCTCTGTCTGATGCAAGTAATGACTCAAAAATTGTTTGCGTATTAAAACCCTGAAACTCTGTCCTTCATTCTGAGTCTGCAGAAAATACACGGCTTGACTGTATCTGATTAATCCGCAATTACATTCTGATTGATTTGAAGTACAGTACAGTACAGTACAGTACGGTAAAGTAAAGTACAGTACAGTATAGTGTAGTATTCAATTCAATTTGGTATAGTCCTAAATCCCAACAGCAGTTGTCTTGGAGGACTTTAGTAAATAAGTAAGTAATGTTTATTTATATATTTTACAGACCAAGGTCACCCAAAGCGCCTTACAATGTCCTGAGTTCTGATATTGTTCCAATCATTCCACACACAGAACACACGGGCACATCAAAGCCCCAATCAACACCATCCACTCACACTCTCATCTACATTACAGTATGGGGAAACCGTAGCACCCGGAGGAAACCTACACCGGGACAACATGCAAACTCCACTCAGGATTCTACCGGGATTCGACCGAGTTTCGAACCCCACACCTTCTTGCTGAGAAGCGAGAGTGCTATATCCACTCAGCCACCAAGAACAGATCAGAGAATAAAATCGTTTCAAAGGTGTCATTATTTTCCATAGGGAGCGGGATGACCAATGTAGATACATTTTAATAAATGTCCTAAATTGTCCCGGGTCATCACTGTCTGCGTCTGCTGGTGTAGTGTAGTGTAGTGAAGCAGGATTTGTCAACGGTACAAGAAAAAAGGTTGTTTTTTAAGAGACAAGCAAATTCCTACTCGGGATTCGGAGAAAAACATTGTTCTCATCCTTGAAATAAGAATTGTTTGCATGTCTTACTGGCAAATCTCGTTTTAAAACTGTCAATATGTACTTTATTTGAGAAAAAAAACTCGTACAAACTGTTTTTGTTTGTACGGGTGAGATTGTTTTAAATTTTTTTTTTTTTACTTTTATAAACATTGAAACTCCGCTGGCCATAATGCATTTCAACCTGTAGGTGGGTTCTATATCTGCTCATCAATTCACCTGTTTATATTTCCACGTCATTTCAGATCAATATTGCAGCAGCAGTGAATAAACTAATGAGGACAACTTGAATACAACACACAAACAAACACATTCCCTGATTTCATCCCCCCATGACCCAATCACACTTCCGCAGCTTGATCTGTGTGACCCGGTGCCGCTCGGCCCGCAGAGGAAGAGTAGAGCAGAACGTCATGGCGTACCGGGCGTGAATGAGGGCTCGCTTTTCTCAATGACTCCAATGTTCTGCTCAGCATGTGCTCGGCTGGCATGCACCCCTCTCCCTCCCCGGCTTCACTCTATTCACTTCCTTCCTCTCTGTCTTCCCCAAAATACTTGAAGCCCATCCCCCACCATATCACACATCCCTGCCAGACCCAGCCCGGTGTAGCAGCAGGGTGGAGGCTGTAGGGGAGACAGAGCATGGGCTGGCTAATATGGGAAAAACCAATCATCTTCTGTGTTTCTCACCTCAAATCTATTGATCATAATAGCTATTACCGTTACCAGAAGCGCTCCTCAAAATGAAAATGCTTTGAACATTTAAAAGGTTTGGGTATTGATTTGATTACAATTTGGCTAATTATGCAAGAATGGCTGCTGCCACTTGGATAGATTAAGATCCTTTCTTCATCCCACAGTGGGGAAATTTCAGTGTTGTATCAGCATGTACATAACAGTGGGAATGAGGAGCGAAATAGATAAATGAACAATAACTCTATGTATACTAAACACATTTAAATAACTGTAATATGAAGAAACAAGTATAACTTCTCTATCTTCAGCTTAATGAGTGCAAAAACTCTGACTTTAGCACAATAAAGAAGTATAAAATCTCTACCTTTGGCGTGATAAGAAGCGAGTATAAAGTACAGCTGAAATACTTCCAGTTTAATCGCTGGTACCGTCTGGACACTGTTCGGGCTGTGAGTTGGTGTCGTTTGATTCATTCCTTGTCGACCAAAATGTCAGTCGAGGAATTATTTTATTATCTTAACAAGCTGAAACGGGGGAAAAAAAGTGAAACATTGCAGCCTTTATGAACTAAGCAAAGTAATTCGCATCAAAGTGTTTTATAAAGAAAATCAAACAAGCACAAAAAAGTATTTCTAATTTAGTATTTCTTCCTTTTAATATTGTTTTGACCAATCAGGTGGTGATATTGGATCATTTTCAAAGGAACATCTCAAGGCACACAGGTAAAAAAAAAAAAATGCTGATAATAATTCATAATTATCTCAAGCCACAGCTGTCCTGGGGCAATGCATGGCCGCCACTCCGACCTCTGACCACATAACAAACAACATTGACACAGCTTTACAATACGACTGCAAAAACACTGTTCTATTCAATTACCACTATTTAATTGTATGCTGAAATCAATTCGTGACCACGGAGCTGCTTCTCTGCATTCGATTGGTCTGCGCCTGACTTTGACACATTCCAATTCAATATTCACATTTGGCAATTATTCTTCTGGATTTTCTGATCATTATTTTTGACGTGCAGCCTATGTTCCATTCAGGTTTCATCGGCTAAAGTAAATTACCTGGGCGGCCTTCATTTGTGCCTTGACCCTGCATCTGAACGCCACTATACCCTACTATTCCCTACCCCCCCTCCTGCTACAGTGATATGACTAATCAGCTTTGAGCCAGTCCCTATTACGCATCATGCCACTTTCCCCGCCGTTTTCATGAAAGGAGACATGCAAAATTGGAACGGATTACCCCACAAGACAAATCAGAATTTAAAGCATGTATGCCACTCGGGCCTGATTTGCAAGACAACTGAAATCCCTGCTTGTAGAAGTGCAGACTTGCTAAATAAGTGAGTTCGTGTGAATGTAAATGCTAATCGAATCTAGCAGGAGACAAACACCTCCATATCAAATGTCCTCTTGAGCGCCGTGCCGAGCCGGGTGAACTCTGGGCAGGCACAATCCTATTAAACACTGGAGAGAGAGAGAGAGAGAGAAGAGAGGCGGTTCTTGACCCACTTTGACATGCGTACCCCTCCCCCATGCTATGTCCTTATGCCCTTTCTTCACTCCATCCAAAATGCACACACACATATATATACATACACATACGTACACACAGAGACACGCGAAGACACACACACACACAGAGACAAACACACACAGACAGAAACATGCACAGACACACAGAGAGACACACACACCCACACACAAACAGAGGCCAACACACAGACAGAATCACACACATGCATGGACACGCACACATACACACAGAGAGAGACACAAACACACACACAGACACACACACAATCAGAGAAAAACACACACATAAGCATACACATAGAGACACAAACACACACAGAATCAGAGACAAACACACATACAAACAGAAACACACACGCGCACAGAAACACACGGAGACACAAACACACACACACAAACAGATACAAACACACAGACACACACACAGACACACAGACACACATCTCACTTCAATCTTATTTTTAGCTTATTTTTTCTATCAACCACAATGTGACCTCCGTACAAAATGAATCACAGATGTGGTCACAAAACATGCTATTCCTGCCTTGGGATTTCCTCCCCTTTTTTTCTTTTTTCTTTTTGGCTGTTAGATGAGCCTGGACATGACTACCATTCAAACACGCGACTTGCATCCTCCAAAGAGAGGGAGGGAAGGGGAAAATGGCGGGAGAAAGGGACAGAGGAGAAGTGGAGTGGGTAGGGGCTAGAGGGGCGCAGAGGAAAAGTGTGGGAGCTTAAAGTTGAAAGAGAAATCAAGGCAAGGTGGGTGGGAATGGAGGGAGATGGATGCTGGAGTGTGGGTGGGATGGGTGGGATGGGTGGACGGGGGGGTGGGCTATCCATGAGTAGTATCTGAGTCACTCAAACAGAGGAAGTAGCGCGTGCAGCCAGTTTAGTGAACACACAGCTCTGTATTTAGTGTGGAGACTGCTATATTCACAATATAATAGCAGCATTTAGTTGAAACTGCCCTTCCTCTGGTCACTGAATCACTCCTTCACGCTCCCCTTTTTTGAAATAGCATGACCCGGCCACTTCCTGACACTTTTGGACTGGGATCCTCAGCTATAAGTCATACTGTATGAGTCAGACCAGGAATATTCATATGGAGAATGTGGTGCCCTGTGATTTGGTTTCGTTTAAGGATAATAAAGTGGATAAAATGACATGATACGTGACTCAAATAGTCGTGTGAAAGTTGGCTAATAAAAGCATCTCATGCTCAGTGGAAAATTCACTTTGACTTGACCTCTCCACAAAAGGAGCAGCAGAGTCGGGGTCAGCTAAGGTCCAATGAGATTAGGCTGCTGATGCATGAACGTCTTCATTTGAAAAATATATTCTGTTCAATTTGTACAGCCAGCTCCTCTTTGCCCTTCACAACCACAACTCAGCCACCGTGGCGGCACGGTGGCTGAGTGGATAGCACTCTTGCCTCTCAGCAAGAAGGTCCTGGGTTCGAATCCCGGTTGGACCAGGGCCTTTCTGAGTGGAGTTTGCATGTTCTCCCCGTGTCTGCGTAGGTTTCCTCCGGGTGCTCCGGTTTCCCCTACCACTAAAAATATGTACAATAGGTCTGGCATGTGCCTCCTGTACTGGCACCCCCACTCCCAAAAATAACAATTGTAAACCGCTTTGAGACTCCGATGTGCAGTGAAAAGGCGGTATATAAATAAAGATTACTTACTACTACTACTACTACTACTTCACATACAGGACCAGGACCAAGGGGCATGTTGTAAGGATTCCTCCTCTAGTGCACTTCACTATTACCATCAACCTCAGCAGCCGCCTCAGTGGGAAACATTCCCTGAAAACTGACACCATCTGGTGGTGAGACTTGTACACACCAGGCAAGAAGAATGTAAGTAAGTAATCTTTATTTATATACCGCCTTTTCACTGCAGATCTGAGTCTCAAAGCGGTTTACAATTGTTAATTTTGGGCATTTGTCTCTCACTCCACACAGAGATGGGAGCAGGGTTGCCAGTAGAGGAGGCGCATGCCAGAACTCCATCCATCCATCCATTCATTTTCTTCCCCTTAATCCATTTCGGGGTCGGGGGGAGGCAGTCAGAGCTGCACCCAGTACACAGAGCACCAGCCCCTCACTGATCCTCCTGCAGGTGGTGAGTCCACAGGAGCTGAGATCTTTTAGTTGGGGCTTTGGGCAAAGTAGGGTTAAGTGTCTTGCCCAAGGACACAATGACAGCAGTCATCAGTGGGAGTCGTGAAGTAGGTCTTACGGTGGGAACCCACAACCTTCAGGCCCAAAGGCCAATGCTCTACCAACTGAGCTACTGTCGCCCTATCAGTTCTGGCATGTCGTCCCCTGCCAGAACTATTGGACATATTTTTAGTGGTAAGGGAAACCAGAGTACCCGGAGGAAACCTATGCAGACACAGGGAGAACATGCAAACTCCACTCAGAAAGGCCCTGGTCCGACCGGGATTCGAACCCAGGACCTTCTTGCTGAGAGTGCTGTCCACTCAGTAATGTGTGTGTATGATGCAGGGGAATGAAGAAAAACCTCAGATGTTCTCATGTATGTTTTATGATCACTACATGTTGTGTTTTTTTATGCTGTTATCATACCTCTCCAAACCCGGTGAGATGTGCTGACTGCTTTGTTCAGGCTTTATGCACGTGTCCAGTAGAGGGCAGTATTCGACCAGAGACAGCTGGAGCAGGGTCAGGGACACCGTGTAAAAACACCTGTACACAAATCAGATGTTACATATGATCTGAAACAAATGCAAGTAGCGTCACCATAAGGAATCCAGCATTAACATTATATGTACATAGTTTCAACACTAGTATGAACACAGACTGATATGGTCCCGCTGCATGTGTGCACTTGTGTCAGTGACAGATGAGCGTGCTTCCTGAGCTTCAGGGTAATAAGAGTCACCTTGTGACGCTACATCTGGACGTTCAATCCACGCTCCTCGCTGTCCTGTCCCAGCTGATTGATCAAACGGGAAAGGTCCGCCTGCCCACTTTGGGTCTGTCACTTTGGGCCTGACGCACGGGGCCTGGCATCTGCAGTCTCCGGAGACAGCTCCGCCTGCGCCACATCTGTGCGTCTGTAGTGGAGCGGTCAGAGCAGACTTTATCGCTGCTTTTATTTCCACAGGGAAAAAGCAACGCAGCCTCAGAGCACAGAGCTGATGTGATGAGCCCAGCAGCAAATAAGAGGGCGTCTTTACAGTGGAGGATAAAAGGTTTACAAACTCCCCACAAAGCAGGTGCTTGGCTCAGACCACTCTGGAGTCGCTCCAGCATTTGTCTTATTGATTGCATTTTGACTGGCACCCCACTGCCTCTCTAGCAATCGAGAACAGCACTCATGTTTCCAGACCACTACAAATAGATCTGAAATTGGGCAACAAACACACACCACCTAATTTTCATCCATCTGTGGGATTTCTTCAGACAACACTGAAGTAGAACAGGCTGTATTTGAAATTATTATCCCATGTTGCATGTTAGCCAAAGGTACATGCCTATTGATATTACTGTATTTTTTCCCCTTTTCTTGCCATTATTATAAATCAGCAATAAAAAAGGAGCAAGGATTTGATTTGGGCCAAACCTCAAGGTGAAGCTGAGGATGAGGAAGGGCTGAGGGCCGTCATTTAAAGTTTGTTGAGCTGTTTGTAGTTGAAATAGTTGAGCTGTGGAATAGAGGGTTTAATGAAAGTTACATGACATTGGGAGGAGATGAATAAAACTTTAGTCCTGTGTTTATAGCTCCTTGTTGAATATCCCAGCAGCAGTTGGTTGTGCCCGCCCCCACACCCTGAACAGCAGCTTGTGGCGGGACGTCCCACAGTGGTGATCGGCTGACAGCTCTCCTCGGTGTCACCAGGATGTGGCTCTCCTTGACCACAGCGCAGTCTTAAGTGTCTGTGAGTCGGGGTGTCAGATGGCGTCGTATTGATGAGTGATGGTCCTGCTGGAGATGGACTGAGAAGCTGGCACCCGCGGGGGGCAGTGGAGACGGATGGATCCATTTGAAATGCAGAGGGGGCTCCACTGCCACATTAACTATTTAACCGTGGTTATCTCTAGGTAATGGTATGCCAGCAGCCCCGAACCAGCAATAAAACACAGGCTGTAGTGTGCGGATGGTGCTACTATGGTTGTGTACAGGTGCAACTCAAAAAATGCTTGTGAAACCAATGATATAGACTCATTGCATGCTTGATATGCCAAGCCTTTGATTGTAAGAATTGTTGTTTGGATGACGATTCTAACAATTTAAGTGGATCAAAATGGACTGATTATTGCTTATAAACCATTGTCAAATTTTATTTGGAGTTTGTACAAGCTTTAAGTTATAAGTCGTGAAGTCATAAGAACATAAACACAAACGATGGATATAAGAGGCTGTGACACTTGTCATGTCAGGATGGCACTTATGAGGATGTTAGGAGGAACAAAGTTAAGCAGAGGCAGCTTCCAGTGCAGATCCGGTGAAAGTTATTATTTACATTTTTGTGTTAAAATCAGGACAGCATGTCCACCAGCACTCCCCCTGCTCAGAGTTGGTGGCCTGCTTTTATAGCAGGTGACAGTAATTAGACCACACCCACTGAAGCTCAAAATCCACAAAATCCAAAAAAATACAGCAATAATTAAAGCCGTGAATCTATCCTCTACAAATTACAAAAATATATCTCTTTATTAATTTAGCAGTGATTTATTCTACAACATAATTAAATTAGAAAAATAAAACCCAGGATACCCCTCCTCCTCTCTGCAGAGTGGATGCACCCGGAACCCTCTTTGCATTAAAACTCAATCTTTAATAAACTTTCTTTAAAATATTTGAGTGTCTCATTCCCCTCACCTGTGAACACCTATAGTAATGGACTCTGCTCCATTATAGAGGCGATCAAAATCAGGAAGTGGGGCACATGGACCATCAACAGAGATGAGGGGGCCTTCACCTTGGCTCACACTGAGACTCACTTTTCCTGAGGCCGCAGTGCAACGGGGGATATGATCTGTCTGACGTATCTGCCCAATCAGTCAGACCGCGTCTTGTAACAACAGCTGCGGACAAACATGCGCACCAACGCATGTTATTGTTGACTTTGCATGGTCCGGTGGGATTGCTGATTTACATTCTTTGTCTTATTAAAAGAATATTCTAAGCTTTAAACATAAAGAAGACATTGTAAACTTGTTTTCACACATATCACTGTGATTGGGCTTGACTCTCCATAGATCAGACTTGTGTATAGGCCCAGAGTGTGACGTTTCAAAAAGGAGGAAGGACCCAAAATGCCAGACTGCCAAAAATGTACGACACACAAAATAACTCAAAAATTACAAAATCAAGTGTTACAGAATTCCAACCTCAAACCAAGAAGAAAAACGAAAAAAAAAAAAAACAATCAAAATAATAAAAGTAGATCAAACACTCAAAGACTCAAGACATGGGGAATAAGAACAAAGAAAAACAGAGGTTTTATGGGTTTTGAGTACTAACTTAAAGTTAAAGTTTACTCATTAATTTGCAAAACAGATTCACCAAGAGAAAAAGCAGATATGAATTAAAAGGAACCGAAATTTTCAACAAACCCAGGTTTCAATCGTCTTTAAAGCAAAAATTTATCTCAATCAAAGGAGTCGATGTGTGGAACAGTCTGGATTGTAAAATCAAAACTTCTACGTCCAATTTTGTGTTTAAAAAGTCTGTAAAATTATTGATGCTGCAGAAATACATCACTGCGGATCAGCGGTAACTTTAATTTTGTGTTTTGTGTTTGAAATTGTCAGAATTGCATTAGAGGCTCAAATGCAATGGAACTGTAAATGATTTTGTGTTGATGGAGGCAGATATTAAAAGCTTTTACTTCTTTCTACTCCTTTTCATTCATGCTAAATACTGTTGTTGTATTTGTTTTTAGAAAAAGAAAAGAAAGAAAAAACAACAACAAGAGAATAGGAGCACAGAGTTTAAATACAGGTAACACACATGAAGGCGGGGCAATCAACAGAACAGACAGGAAGAGACACTGAAAAGAACCAATATCAAAATAAAACCGGGTAAAAACCAATGAGAGAATCAAAGGTCTATGCAAGCAGCAGACCATAATCCATGTTGTAACTGATCCAAATAGTATCAAAACATGGCAATATCAGCTTTTCAATTTGCTTAAGCACTAAATAAAAGCGCCTTTTCTAAAATACTTCTATAATGAGTTGATAACATAAAATGAGCAGCGTCTTAGGTAATATTTTAGCTTTTGAATGAAACCGCTCTCTGTGATCTTGAACCCAGCTGCACTTGAAAGCAGTTCTTTCCACTCCCGTAGCCTTGTCGTAACATTGAACTAAGTATTGTCTATTATCAGCCGTGCAAAACAGCTGCGTGGTGCAAAATCACGTCTGTTCTCCAATTTCAAGGTGTTGCATAATTTCAAACAGCAGCGGGATGTTGCGAAGGAGAAAAACCTAATATGCAAGACACTTCAAAAACGTACGAATGCACCAAAACACTAATTGTTGTTTTTGATGAGGAAGCAACAGAAAAAAAACAGCCAAAATATTAAGATGAGCAGAATACAGAGCTGTGGACCATTTTGTTTTATTTGTTTAATATTTGCATGTCAAGTCATCAGTGGCAAATGACCCAAATATTTCAAAAGGCGTTATTAAATCATACTCTTTTCGAATTCATCTTTAACTGATAAGAGTAGTTCAGACGAGATATTTGATTATCAAAATTAGTTTTACGACCCGTAAAAGTTGTTATTGTTTTGATTTTGATGTCCTACCCATGGATGTATTATATTAACTGGATAGGGTATTACTAGCTTGTAGCTGAATAACTCACGTGCTCAGGGGATTCTCGCGGTACTGCAGACTGAACCAGACTAAATTCACGTGGGCTACCCAGAAATTTTCCCCATAGAACTCAATGCATATTAAAACAGCTCAACCTCAGCTGACAGAGAACCTACAGCTTTAATAAAGATCGGATTTTGTGGGGATTTTAGTGTCCCTTGTCATCCTGAACTTTTTTTCTTCTTAAATCCTTCGGTTTTGTTTAAATCCACACTTTAGTGCCACAAACTCTGCTCGTCTGGCTCTCGCTCTAACTCCCGCTCTGATGAACTGCTCTGATTGGTCAGAGCGCGGCCGAGCCCCTCTGTGCACGTGCGTGAGACCCACACACGCGTGTTTGGCGCAACGCATTATGGGAGATCATCCACCGCGCAGAACCGGGAGGACCAGACGATGCCCAAATACAGGCGAGTTTCCCAGAGATCTTTGCGAGTTTCAGGCAACTTCCGCTAATCTTTCAGCCCCCATGCCGTCACAAAGCGCCACTGAGCACAACCATTCATTTGAATAGGGCGCCATCTTGGATCGCCGGGGCTTGGTCCTACCCTCCGCCGTTTCGCCAATCAGGAAGTGTCATGTAAGTCCGTAAACGGGTTGCCAGAACTCCGCGCGGCTCATTAATCTCAGAGGTAAAATAACATGTGGCGCAGAACTAAAAAAGGTCTTGTTATGACTCTCAAATCATTAATGACAAAACAAAGACTAAAACGAGGATTTATATCGGGATGCCTTTGAACAATTGAGACAGCTGATAAAAGTTCACGTGTGATGCAGAATTTTCTAGATTCAATGCGTTCTTCACAGTGTCTCATTCTTGTGAATCGGTGGTATAGTGGTCTAAACTGTGCGCTTACGATGCAAGAACCCGGGTTCGATCCCGGGCTATGTCTTTTTGTATTTATTGCATGTTATCACATTCTATGACAGATTGCTCTAAAAACGGTAAAAGATGAAGGTCAAGACGTTTTTTTGCAGATTATAGCTAACATTGAACCCACGACCTTCTGGCCTTAAGGCCAATGCTCTACCAACTGAGCTACTGTCGCCCTCAGTTGGTAGAGACAACTGAGGGCGACAGTTTCTCAATCCATTCTTGTTAATTATCCGCCCCTACAGTAAAAAAGCTCCTGTCTCAGTCCTGTAATAGTCATCACGCTCAGAGCTACTTTTGTGCTCTTTAAAACAAAAATATTGTCTACAAAATAGTTCTTCACAATCACATGGCTGTGTTTGCAGTTGTTAATTTTCAAATTTACCCCTCCCTCTGGTGGTAGCATAGAGAGTTGCAGACAAATTGCATTGATACATTTTTTCACATTCTAAAACAATAAAATGAAAGGCCTCATTATCACTTTGAATGGACACAAATAATGCATAGTATGTCTTCTTTACTGTTTGACTCAATTCAAGGTATTCTTGTAAAGCCTTAAATCACAACAGTATCTTTCTCGGAGGACAAAACCGTTGAATTTGCCATCACAGGTTGATAAGGGGCAGATGACCAATGTCCGTTGATACATGTCCATACATTTTTTGAATGTTGAGTGTCTTTGATCATCACCACTGTCCTTTTAGATAGACCCTCATAGGAATCCAACAGACCCTCCGGCCGATATCGGCAAGGAACAACTCTAAAACCCAGTGGTAAGGGTTCGGGAAAGGACCTGGCCCCTGGAGGGGTCAGGTTCATGATACAGACAATGAGACTGAAGGTAAATAGCAATGAAAAGACTACAGCCGAAGTCATAATGCAGACGGATGAAGTAGGAAAGAGGATAGTGCTCATGTTACCATACTCCTCCCAGCAAACTGACTCCATATGCAGCATCCCTAGTACTGTGCCGCTACAGAGGATGTACCAATGATGTCTCACACCAGACGGCATGGGTTGCAGCTTGACTGACAATATGTGTTTTTAAGGTTGTATTTTTTAAGTCTTACCATATGCTAAATTAACCCCTTAAGGATCACCCTCCCTGTACAGGGAGGATTCAGATATTTTTCATTTAACTGCATCAGTATTATAACTTAACTTGTGTCAATATAGTCAAGCTATACCTCTTTTGAAAGCTTATTCCCACCTCTAAATGCATATTATGTTCAAATAAACATTAAATATCAACAAAAGTAAGTATTTGTAGTCAAACTGTATACA